CAATTTTATTATGCACATTTAAGATAAAAAACAAAATCCATGAAAAAAGGGTAAAAAAAATGACATGTACATACCCTCAGATAACTATTGCTTGTTTCTTCACATTGTAGAAGACCAAATCCTTTCCTAGCCTATAAAGTATCAACATTCAAATTAATTGATGATTTCAATCTAAACTATACATAAATTGAAAAATTAAGCAAATAAAAACTACCATTGCCCTCTCTTTTTGAACAGTTGAACTATGTTGATGGTTGACATTCCTTCTAACTGGTAGCTTAGTTCCTCTCGATGAATTGTTTGGCTCAACAACAGGAACTTCAGATGAAGATTGGGTGTTCTTTGGCCTACCTCTTGGTTTCTGCCAAGATAAAAAGAAAATGACAGTATACATTTTTATGTGTTATATCAAATTCAGTTGAATATATATGTTACCTTTTCTTCTCTCTGAACCGGTTCTTTTGTACAAGTATTTTTGTTGTGACCTTTTTTAAGACAATTTTGGCATGTCATTTGGAGACCAAACCTCTTCAACTTCGTGGCAGATTTTTTCTCTTCTTCAGGAGCCCTTCTTCTTTTCTTCTTAGGCCTCCCAGGCATCTTTCTGAATGTTGGTGTCTTGATAGGATATCCAGAAGCAACAGGCCACAATTTTTTACCATTAATTGGCTCCAGTGCAATGGAATACAAACTAATGTACTTTTGAACACTATACCAGTCATGAACATAATCAACTGCATCTTTGTGAAGAAAATTAAGTGTTGAACAACCATGAATACAAGGGATTCTTGTGATATCCCATTCCCTACATGTACAAGTTATGTTTCTCAAATCAACAACAAACTGGTCTTCATCACATGCCACTTGAAATCTATCCCTACAGCTGGTTGTGTCACACATAGTCACCTCCATGAGCTTATTATATTGTCTGTGCATGAGCTCACTCCTAATGCATTCTAGCATTTCTATAATATGCTTTCCCCTAGCCTTCAAATATATCCATTAAATGTTACACTAACATTATTTTCAATCATGTCTGATCTAGGCATAGGAGAAATAAAAGCCTTGCAAAACCTGGAAGGATTTTTGTCTAAAAAGTCATCATATGCTTCCACTTTTTCTGCTTTCAAATCATCTAGAGCAATGTTGTATGCAGCTCTATGTGTGCTCAACACCAATCTCCAGAATATAGACTTCAACACTTGGCCCTTGAATTGCTTTTTCCAGTTCATATAAACATGTCTAGCATAGTTTATGTTCTCAACATGTGGTGTTAGGTCCTCAATTGCATTAATTAATCCCTATTCATCAATAAGAATAACTAGTAAGTAAAAAGGAAAAAAAACAAACAGAAATAAAAATAACCAACTAAAGATAGATGGATATGATCTTACCTTTTGTTGGTCACTGACAAAAGTTAAACCAAGGCCATCACCAATTCCCAAATCTTGAACAAAATGGATAAAAACCATTTCTAACATGCTTCATTCTCAGCTTCAACCACTGCCCAAGCCACATGGTACATATGGTTATTTCCATCCTTTGCTGTGGCACAAAGTAGTGCACCTCCTAAAAAGGTCTTTAGAAAGCAACCATCAAAAGCCTAAGATTGGCCTACAACCCTGTAAGAAGCCTTTCCTAAGGGCACTAAATCCAATGTAAAAGGATTTGAACACAGAATCTCCTTGTAACTCAAACTCAAATCTTCTATCCCTATTAACTCTTTGTAGCTCAGCCATATAACTTCTAAGAGAGGCATAATGATAAAAAATGGATCCTCTCAACATTTCTAAAGCCTTCCATTTCCCTATATACAGTTTCCATTTGGTAGGTTGAACTGCATAATTCCTTAATATGTCATTTGCCAATTGAGCTATTGTGAAATTTGGATTTTTCCTAAAAGTGCCAATATACTCCCTAGCAATCCAATCTCCTGTCACTTGTCTAGTGTGCACATCCCTATGGCATCTATGTTCATGATTCAAGTAGTTAATTGCAAACCTACCCTCAGACATAATTGGAGAAGCATAAAGACTCCATGGACAACCCTCAACACACTTGGCTTGTATTTGCCTTTTGATGTCTTTGACATTTCTTATGTTGTAACCATTACAATGGCAACCTTTTGTATAACCCTTCTAATCTGTTCTGCAGATTCAAACCTCATCCCAAGCACAAAATCAATGTTTTTTGTGATCGTAGTTAGGATCATAAAAGATTCTTTTTTTTTTACTCCTAGGTCTTCCCTCATCTACATCAAACTCATCACTACTGGAAGAGTTAGATACTACAGCACGGTCAAAATCTGAGCCCTCAGATTGTATTTCTGCTTAATCATCAGGAAATTCCACTTGTACTGAATTAACATCCTTCTCAAATGGAGCAGCCCTCTTATATTCCTTAAAGTTCCTCCTGGCAACAATTCTCTCTTCATCATCTGAAGCAAGTTCATGATCCGACAATCCATCATCAGATGAACTCTCATCTACAGGCACATAATCTTCATCTTCACTACTATCAAAAAAGCCTTTCCCCTTAGTACTGTCCTTCCCCATTGGTATCATCACAATAGGCTCATCTTCATGAGTCTGAATTTCAGAGTAATTATGATCACCCTCATTTTCTTCTTCCAAGAAGTTATCCACAAAAACATCAATTATCTTCTCTCCTTTTTGAACATATCCTATCATCTCCATAACTCCATCATCATTATGGACAAGTCTCATACCATCATGCCCTTCAACATCTGGAACTTTGTAATATAACTTACCCCAACTTGTGTATCCAAGCTTTTGCACTTCATCCTCTAAGTCTAGATAACCAAACCTATCGACATCTAAGCCATGTAAAATCTTAAAACCAAATCCATCATATTCCATCCCTAAACTGGTCCTATTGATTTTTCCACCATAGTTTAGATAAATGGAGAACTCATCCCTGCAAGTTTCAAATATGGATACATTTAAACATACGTACAATATATAAGAAAATTTAGAATATGCAAAACATAATTTCAAAGAATTAACCAATATTTCAAAATCCCACAAAAAATGCCCAAATCACGAAACCCTATCTTTTGGCACAGGGGGAATACATGTTCTCCATTGATGACACAACAAATTATTTCGAGCTCCACCTCTGATATGCTTCTGTTAGCTCTCAATTTTGTCTTTCCTCTTAATTTTGCAGCTCCTCAAAGTTGGGGTTGAAGAATCGAGATTAGGGTTGCAGAGAGGGGAAAAATTGGGAATGAGAGAAATAAAGAAATTGTGATGTGGAAATGGGTATATGTATGTTATAAAACATAAAAGCCACATCAGTTTTTTACTCAGTCATCTCATCACCTCGTCGGACAGCTCAACAACAATGGGCTCGGAAATTTCGTCGGAGCTTAAAATGCAACAAATATTAAAGGTTGGGAATTTAATGGCCAACTTAAAAAAGTTGAGATTTATATGCAATTTAGTAAAAGGTCGGGGTTTTTTAAGCAATTAGGCCTAATTAATTTGAAATGATATTGTAGTGCATTTTAGGGGTGTTCACGGTCCGGTTTTAACCGAAAAAAACCGTCAATCCAGATCGCGGATCGGTTAAATGGTCGGTTAAAAAAACTTTAAAAAATCCAGTGGTTAATTTTTTTTTTAAAAAATTCAGAATAACCGGTCCGATTAACGGATTACCTGCGGCAAACCGCCGGTTTAACCGGACCGGACCGAAATATTAAAAAATTATAATAAATATATATATATATATATACATTCGGTCATTCACTATGGCCGACAAATACAATACATTCACTTTCACTTTTTAGCATTTTGTTGACTTAATTTTGTAAGACACTATAACTTTTCACTTTAGTGCTGTTAAATTAAACGAGCCTGACTCGGCCCGGCTCGTTAAGGCTCGGTTCGGCTCGAGTTCGAAGCCTTAACGAGCCGAACTCGAGCTCATTTAAAGCACGTTTGGTTAACGAGCCGAGCTCGGCTCGGCTCGATAAGGCTCGAAAAGTGAAATTTATGTAATTATTTTATTGTTCGACTAGTTGAAACTCGAGATCGGCTCGTTAAAGCTCGAGCTCGAGGCCTTAACGAGCCGAGCTCGAGCTCGATTTTTGGCTCGTTAAGAGCTCGAGCTCGAGCTCAAACACCTTAAGCTCGAGCTCGGCTCGACTCATTTACAGCCCTTCGTTTTTTTATTTTCAAATTTTCCCACCTCCTTCCTAATTTTTTGGGACGAGATGTGTATTTTATTATGCGTATGAGACGAATTGTGTTTTTTATTTCTTATTGTTGTTTTTCTTAATTTTTAGGCCCAAATAATCTCTTTTGAACCCAAAATTAAAAAGTAAAAATTAAATCCAAAATGAAAAAAAAAAAAAAATTGAAAACCCAAAACAAAGATTTTAGATTTAACCGGTTAACCGCCAAACCGGACCGTCCAATGCGGTCCGGATTGTGGCCGGTTAAAAATAAAACCGGTCTGATTATGGACAAGAAAAAAAATTAACTGTTAAGTTCGGTTTGATCATGATTTGGGCTAAAACTGGACCTATACGGACCGTGAACACCTCTAGTGCATTTATCTCACAATTTTTTTTTTAATGCTAGAAAAGTAAATACAAAACGATGGTCAAAAAGGTTATAACATTAATTGTGGTTTTAAACCACTTTAATTATTTCAGTGATTAAAACAATTAAAATATTCATAACCTAAAATTTTGATAATTAAATAAAAAATAGTACATTATTAGCATAAAACTTTTCAAATTAAGTAAAAATAAGTTAATTAATTATCTATAAAATATTTGAAAAATATAAATATATTATATTATAATAAAGTAAAATAAATAGATCATTTTAGATGTGTTTTTTCAACAGCCTCCAGAATTTGGATCATCTTCTTAGCATTTTTCCAAAATCCGTAGCTCAAAAACCTACTGATCTCGCAAATTCAGAAACTCGAATCAGTACTCTTTCAATTGTTTATATGTATTGGGGATTATGGGATTGTTTAAGAGACTCGCGGGCTTGCTAGGGTTTGCTCGAGACGAAGAACAGCATCAACACGACGATGCAGCTGCGGACGCCGCCGGCCCGTCATCGTCGTCGCCGCCGGGGGCGGCTCCTGCAGGGGCATTCGCTTCAGCTCAGCATCTTCCCCGCAGGGGCTTCAGTGTCCCCGTTCAAGTCCCCGTTGAGCGATCCCCGCCTCCTCCGCTCCTCGTGTTCTGCCCCGCCGGGGACGGTGGAATTCAGGTCTGTTTAGTCCGAGGAATCACGCGATGAGATTTTTCTCCTTTTGTTTGTTTTATTATTTACTTTCTTGGTTTAGCTGATGCGTTTAAGTTCTCTTTTCTGCTTGAACTCGTCCATATTGTGGAAATGATTGTTAATATGAAGTCTTTGGATGTCAAGCATATGCTTATGTTTTTTTTTAGATCTGACGAGTGACGACATTATGCCTCGGAATATGAACTCGTCCATGTTGTAGTTCTTTAGGTTAGGGGGGTTTTGTATAGTCCTGTTTCGATTCGTCTATTGGTCTATCAACTTCGACCCAATTCTTGAGCTGACATTGTCGGCCAAGATTCTCAAGTTATCACCCAAAAGCCAAAATATTTTGATTTGGTTCAACTTATAATTTTATTTTCTCAACAAGGAGATGATAGGATAAACTTTCAAGAATCATAAAACTTGATCAGAGCTCTCTCTGTAGTAGGATGACTGTTTCCAGGAAAAGGTGAGGAGATGCAAGATATACGATGTGTAGAGGATGAATTTCTGTGGATAAGGCAAGAGGCAATGCAAGGGCCAAATACGAACTTCAACACAGGATAGATTTTGAGTCTGTGGGTCACTAAAACTGTTGTTCTCCAATCTATCCTTTAGGAGCATTTATATATGATCTACATTTAGGTGCATGATGTCTTTCATTGAAGGTAGGGAAGATTAAGTTAATTGCCTTATTCTGTGATAGTTATGAGTAAAAGATAAATAAAATTGTATTTCTCCTCTTTACCATCCCTAAGTTTCTTCCCTTACGGGTGTTTGTTATTCTCTTTCGGTCATAATGCACTCAATATGATTCCATGGGAGCATTGCATCTGTATTTTCTGGGTTGAATTTATATATACATATGTATTTGTAGTTAAACACATACAAACAAACCCCACAGATTGGGGAAGGGTGGATGCTTTTGAAGCTTAAACTGCTGGTTGTACATTCTGCTAATTAGAGGCCCTCGAGCACTGCTATTTTTGTGAGATATCCGATTCAGGAGGCAATTGTGAATACTGAAGTCCATCATGCTTTGGGACCCTAACAAGTTGAAAAATTATGAACTGGATTATCTTGTTTACTCTCTCTTCTGAAAAAGAAATAAGTAAAATGGGTGTATTATGATGGGAGAAAATTTGGTGTTGGAAAAGCTTCTGCATTATTTTCAGTAGGCAGATAATAATTTATAAACTGAATAGATAGATTTACAGAATTTTCATTTGACATATGAACAAGAAAATAGTTGAGATACATGGATCGTAATATTCTGCAGGTATCAGGACTTTAGCTTGACCCTGTGCACTTCTTCTTATTCGGTATAAAAAAGGAAACAGCATATTAAAAGATTTTCTGTTTAAAAAATACAACTTGTGGTTTTTTTCCCTCGAAGCATAGTTGACAGATTAGTTATAGAATTTATTTATTTATTATTACATACATTTCCATAAAAATTTTCTTTTTATTTCTCTTTTCTTTAAAAGCTTTTGGCAACATCTCTATCCTCATTTTCCTTAATTGCACAGGGTTTGAGATGGTATGCAAAACGCCTTAGGATAGATGAAGATGGTGATATTGCTGATGAGTTTCTTGATGAGGTCCCGCCCGATACATCGGCGAGCATGAAAGAGCATGATAACCAGTTGCCAAGATTCGAAGTGAACTACAGCACAAGACCTGCTAAAGTTAAAAACTTGGCTCTTTTACCTAATGGTAAAATTCAACACCTCGTCGAGTACCAGGGCAGGCTGGAATGGGTTTAAATGTCATTTACGACACTGCATCATGATGATTTTAGGAGAACTATGGAGCATGTTGTTGACATTCAATCTAAGGAGAATTTTTATTGTGTGACATTTAATTGAGTTCCTGATCGAAATAGAAAGGTGAAGAAGATGAAATACAATGATGGTTAACTGTGAACGCACGATGTATTACTTGAACTGCTTTTTCAGGACCATGGAAAGTTGTAAGTTGAGTTGAACCTTCCACATAATTGGTATATACGGGCTACTGAAGTGTTCAGAATTAGATTTTTTTCTTACTTTTGTTATAATTTTTAGTTCTTTTTGAGGTTTGCCCTACTCTCTTGATCAGTGAGGAGAATGCCAAATCAGTGAGGAGAATGCCAATTGCAATTTGCAGTTACATAGTGACAACAAATAAAAGGAGAAGAAAATAGAAAGAATGAATTCTCCTGTAACTTGTCCCATAAATATATAATAAAGGAGCCCTTGATTCAAACTCCTTATTTCTTGATAACAAAAAAATATTGAATACCGAGAGACATATCAAATTAATAATAGGTCTCATTCGATAGAAACATGCCCATATATTCCTCTTACTGATTTTTAATCTTGTTTAGATTCATTACTGGTGAGGCTATCAGCAATGTCAATCAAGAGCTTGGCAAAACTCTTGGCCTCGTTATTCCAGTCCTCAATATCGGGTTCCCTTATCCTAGACGTGGCCTTCATGCATCCATTTATATATTCCTCGATTACCTGGCCATCTAAACCTGCAATGGATGACTCTTGAGAAGCATCAGACAACACGTTTGTGATGTACTCGGCCACATTCTCGTAAGACGTCAAACAACTGTCGATTGCTGGGATGAGAGGAGGTTTTGTGGTTAGGTCCTCCGACAGGTCGAGAAGTTTGTTGAGGGTTCGGCATACGAAGGAGGAGGTTGAATTTATGGCGACTTGGAGGAGGGGATTGAGATCGTTTAGTGTCGTGTTAGCGGCTTTAGGTTTCTTCAAGACTCTGAGGCAAAAGGGTTTAGCCACGTTGAGCCGTTTGTGGAGGCAGAAGTTGTTCACGGTTTCGTACGGACCGGGGGGTTTGGGGCTAGTTGTGGTCTGGTTGTTTGGCTGTGCTTTTGTGGTTGAAAGAATGAGGAAGAAGAAGGAAAAGGTGATGGCCTGCAATTTGTTTCTTGAGGGACTCATGTTTTGTGGGCGGTAGTTTTTTTTTTTTTT